CTCTCTCTCTCTCTCTCTCTCTCTCTCTCTCTCTCTCTCTCTCTCTCTCTCTCTCTCTCTTTCCCGACTTGCGATCTCGCGATGCTATGCGGCGAGACGATGCTCGTGTAACGTCCGGTTCCTTACATGCGCCACGTATAGCCACGCGCCGATCATTACGCTCGCGAGAAGGCGGTAACTACCGCCGATCCAGTTTGTCAAACGCAATTTGCGTGATCCTTCTTCGCCGGCGCGGAAACGACATGGAATCGACTCAGCGGCACGCCCGATAATTTACGGTTTTTGCGCGAGAGCGCAATACACGGGCTCGCGCGCGATAATGAAATCAGCGATATCTCGACTTCTCGGGCGGAGTAATAGACTAAATAGGCACGGAGAATGTGTAATGTATCTTGAAATAGCGTTTGAAAAGGAGAAATCACATTTTCCCGCTATGCCAACGCTTCGCGCGCATACCTTCCGTGAAGGCGGCGATCCTTTACGTCGAATCGAACTGTTTACAATGCCTCGCACATTTTTCAAAGTCAGAAAAAGGTGAGGAGAGACTTTTCTCGGTACGACCGGCCCTTGACTTCTCGGTATACGCGATGTTAGCGCGTCCTCCGCCGCTGTGTCCGCTCGATCGAAGTTAGCACGAATGGATTGTTTCTGCGGCCGAGCGAAGGCCTTTAGGAAAGTGTAAAGAGTGTCTAAAGCGGGAAAGAGAGAACAAGAAGGGCAAGGGAGAGAGTGAGTGAGTGAGTGAGTGAGTGAGTGTGTGTGTGTGTGTATGTGAGAGAAAGAGAGAGAGAGAGAGAGAGAGAGAGAGAAAGAGAGAAAGAGAGTGACAAAGTAACTTCGTCGAGCCGGATAGAACGCGAGGAAGCGAGAAAGAGCGAGGATGAAGTGAAAGATGAGCATGAGGGTACAAAACGGGAGGAGAAAGGAGGAAGAGGTTGGCGAGGAGAGAAGACGGAGATGGGAGATGTTGGAAGAGAGGAGCACGGTTCGAAGAGTACGAAGAAGAAGAAGGAGAAGAAGAAGAAGTTAAGATGGTCCAGCGCAGGCAGCATCACCACCGCAGCCGGAGGTGATGACCTGCTCAAGGCCACCCGCTCCCAACCTCTCGGACCGAAGAGGAGAACCACTCTTCTTATTTTTCATTGCTCCCTTTTCTCTCTTTTGACTTCTCGCAGCTCTCCGTCTCTCTCGCACTTTCCGCTTCCTTCCTTCTGTCTCTCCCTTTTTCACTCATTCGGTTTCCGTGCATCTGCCTTTCTTGGGCTCGCTGAACTTTACACGGTCCTTTCTCTCTTTCTCTCGCTCTCTCTCTCTCTCTCTCTGAATTTTTTTGGTTTTTCGAAAAATAACCGATTATTGCGAAAAATATTACAAAGTGTATAGCTCAGCGCACTTAATCTCAACTATAATTTTTGTTAGCAAACCCGAAGCCGATTACGTCGGAATGCATGAGAAGATATCACGTAGCGCAAGTTTTTCTTTTTCCACATTTAGTTCTTAGGTTTTCTAGACTTGTACTTTGTATCGCGTTTAATAACGCATGTCCTTAGCGCAAATTTTTCACGGGGTCGTTAACGGCCACGTGCACGTTCTTTACGACCGCGTAAACCCACATATAGATATCGACAAAGAAAATTCGAGCAAATGCGTCGGGCTCGCATGAACGGGGGAAAAAAGTCAACCGCAATACAAGAAGTCGTAAAACGACTGAGATCGCGCAGCTAATCCGCCTGCCGCCGCGATACTGTTCACCGGCGAAGAATGCGGTGCATCGATACAATGCGGTATTAAAAAAGCCGGACTCTCGTTTATTTCCTATCTGTTCGATTAATTCGATCGGCCGCTTCTCGTAACTCGAGCGCGCAAGATGTACATGCGATTTGTAGATCGTGAAACTGAGACTTTAAATATAAAATAAGATTTCTTGCATTAAAAATATAATAGAAATAATTGAAATTTAAAATTATTGCCGAAAGAATAAAAAAATGTCACATCATTGTCAAGACTCAAAGCACTTTTTATAATTTTTTCGAGTGTTTTGTGAACGTGTTGCACGAAAAATATATTTCGTAGTGACTTTGTATGGTGCACACACAGCTCGGTGTATCTGGTGTTTAATAAGCACGGGTCAACTGGAGTCAACGGTGCAGCTGTGTCCACCAACGGCGAACTATTACCTCGATTCATTATCAGTGGCCTCTTTGTGCATGTCGTTTGTTTCGTAGGATTCCCCCACGTCGCCCGCCGTTAACTTTTCTTAATTGAAATGTTACTCATAACGCAGTTTCGCCGGTCGCGAAGATATTTATGAAAAACATGTTTATGTGTCCCGCATAAATCTAGTCGCTCATAATTCAAATACGCACCGGTTTTCTATCCTTCTTTCCTTCGGTTATGTATTAGAACCTACAAAGAATCGGTGGAAGATTTATGCCTTCACATTATTTTAACAAAATGACAATGATTTCTCGCACGATAGTTAGAGCCCAGTGAGCAGGGTTGCGCGTACCTTTTCGCTAGACACGCTATGCTTAAAGGTTGATGTGATAATGGCTAGACACCGTGTATAATAAATAAAAGTACATGCATTTGTTACAGCGAGAGATGACGGAGCAGAACGCGTGAGCAAGATTGCAGAATACACGAAGGAGGAGAACAAGAGCCCGAACAAAGGTAAGGAAAAGAAAGAGAGAGAGAGAGAGAGAGAGAGAGAGAGAGAGAGAGAGAGAGAGAGAGTAGTAAGTATTA